AAAAATAATATTGTACTGTGTTTAAGGTGAAAGTTTACACAGCAAATTAGCTTCCCTTTTAACAATTTCTATACAAATTATTCAGTGACATTGGTTACACTTTTCACAATGTGCCATCACTTTCATTCATTCCATTCTGGTTGTACCATTTTCAGTACTCTGGTTTCCCTGTCTTCTTACCTTCTCATCTTTGTTTTAGAGTAATTCTTGACCATTTGGTCTCCTACAGATGATTTTTTAAAGGAGATCATTACTCATGGGTGATATTCTTTATTTTATGAGCCAATCTGTTATTTATCTAAAAGTAGACCTCAAAGGATAATTTGGTTTAAGGTTTAAAGTGTATCTCAGGGCGATAGTCTTGGGGAGTTGTCTAGTCTCAACCAGTCCAGTAAGTCTGGACTTTGTAAGAATTTGAGTTCTGTTCCACTTTTCTCTCTCATTACATAAGGACCCATCTATTGTGGCCCTCTTTTGTTTTAAGCCACTGAGTTTTGGGGTCGTTTATTACTGCAGTGTAACCTAGCGTATCTTGACTATGAATCTACATAAGACATAAACATCAGTATTCTACTCCATATTTTACATAGAAAATGTCTCAAAAATGAGCAATGGCTTGATACATTAAAATGACTATTGATAATATATACTTATGCTTAGATACATTATTCTGCTTTCTTGAACATGCAACTTAAACAAGATCGTGAAATAATTTGAACTTAATAAAGTTGTGAGCTACCTGTTTGAGTGTCCTCTCCATGTCAATCCCCTGACCCCATGGAGCAGCAGGATTTGCCAAACAATCCCCAGCATTTCCTCTCCTTGAAATATCAATTTTTTGCCTTCTAAGATTTCGGAAAGTTTCGGCCATCACAAGGACTCCATCATAAGTCAGAGCAGAGGTGTACTGATCAAATAAAAGCAATTGTAAGAGTAAATGTTAAAAGTCATCAAACACCAGGAATAACTGGGGTCTTTGTGGGTTTAAGACATAAAGCACCATTCTGTCTGATCTATTACTGTCAAGTCGATTCTAACTCATGGCAACCCAATAGGACAGAGTGGAACTGCCCCATAGGGTTTCCAAGGCTATAATCTTTACAGAAGCAGACTGCCACATTTTGCTCCTATGGAGCAGCTGGTGGGTTAGAACCACTGACCTT